AGATTGTGAACTGACAGCATCCACATCCCAGCCATAGGAGACAGACTTCTGTAAAAATTCATTAACAACAAAATCCAGGAAAAAAAGGAGATTCCTCCAGGAAGTTTAAAAAGGGGCGCATGACAGATGTCACGACAACAACAGAGACATACTAAGGCTGTAAACACAACAACACGCGAGAGACGAGATTCAGACTAATTATCAGCAGCTGGAAACAATCAGGTGAGTGACAGACATGCAGTAAAGTAACACAAGATATCACAGAAAACTAACCTACAGAGTAAAACAGGAAACAACCTGAGAAGAACAACCTGAATACTTGACACTTGATAATAAACCAAATTAAAGTTTAAACATTATGCAAAGCACATCTCAGAGGTTAAAGGTAACGGAAGCAAACACAAGAAACTAAATCTAATTAACAAACAACAACCAACTGGACTAACTGGACCAAAGAAAGAAGAATAAAGAAACACGACTGATGACTAAAAGCAAAATAAATAAATAGATGAATAAATGAATGAATAAATAAATAAATAAATAAATACTAAAATAAAAAAGAATCTTAGAAGCTCATAAACCCTGGGTCCAAGATCCAGGACCATGAAAACATGACTCTTTTTAGTTCTTGTTGTTTTTAATATGACATTTTAGGCTCAGTTCTTGTTTCATTTTGGACTTCAGGTTTGAACACTGAGCTGTCCCGCTTCCTTTAAAATATGTTTTTAATGTGCCTTTTCCTCTTTTTCATAAAGGAAGGTTGCTTTCATTTCGTGTTAGAGCCAAATTTCCTAAAGTATATTTTGATTGATATTCTGTTTGTAAATTGTTGTACAGATGATGAATAAACATGACAAATAAAAAGTCACTTGTACTTGTGCGTATTTTAAAAACGACAGCAAGATAATGAAAATAGATGTATGTTTTTATAGGTTTCATTTTATTGTAATTTGTCTTTATCACAAATAATTTATTGTGATGTTTGGCAAAGCATCATGGTTAACACACCTACAGTTAAAAGCTTTACAGCTCCAAAAGGTTTAACTTTATGTTTTTCTGGATGAAATATTTCAATATTACACATCTACAATCCAAGCATTTGATATAGTTTGAAATTTAAGCACTGAATGAACAAAAAACACCCTGCTTTTGACTCATTAGAATTTGTTGTTGATTAAAGTATTACAGAGGCACACGTTCATTCAGTGTTTAATGTTAAGTTGACAGCATCATACTTAAATAGAAAATTTACTCAAGCATGCTTTAAGTTTTAAAATGAGGAAGAAAATGTGTTTTGCGGGAAGCAATTGCCTAAGTAAATTCCATTCTTCACGAGCAAATGTGTACGTTTTGAACTTCTTTTCAGAATAAAAATGATTGAAAACAATACTTATAGACACATGAAAAAGGTAGAGGAAGAAAGCATTGGTTTGGTAAAAAAAAAAAAAAAAAATAGGACCTTAAAAAATGTACTGTATAAAAATATAAAAATAATAATGAAATCAAAACTATAAAGACAGTGTGTGTCACTTTTCTTTGTTTGTTTCAGACGTTACTGCTGCAATCTACAACTCATCAGGCTATAATAAACCACCGGCTCTCACAAGTGTCTATTTCATCACATCATAAGCAAAAGGTCCATGCTGATTCTTGACTTAAATAGGAACACATGGTACACATATAGATTACTATATTATCTGTTATTTTACTGATTACTTATTTTCAAAAGTAATTAATTACTTAGTTACTTTTTAAAAAGGCAAGGCAAGGCAAGGCAAGGCAAGTTTATTTGTATAGCACAATTCAACAACAAGGTGATTCAAAGTGCTTTACAG